TTTTTTTTTTTTTTTTTTTGGAATTGGAGTCTCACTCTGTTGCCCAGGCTGGAGTGCAGTGGCAAGCTCACGGCCTGTGCCTTGACCTGCTGGGCACAGGTGATCCTTCCACTTCAACCTTCCAAATAGCTAGAACTACAGGCATGTGCTACCACACCTGGCTAATTTTTTTATTTATTATAGAGACGAGGTCTCACTAAGTTGCCTAGGCTGGTCTCGAACACCAGAGCTTAGGCAATCCTCTCGCCTTGGCCTCTCAAAGTGCTGCGATTACAGGCTTCTGACATGAACCCTGCATCCTGCCGGACAGTCTGACCTGGCCCCTGGAACCTGCTCAGTGGAGGTAAGTGAAGCTGTTTGCTTCCCTCCTCTGCCTCATGGGCAGCCAGCCACTCTGACTCTGCTCAGGTTCCAGCTTGGGGCCATAGTCTGTCAGAGCTCCTAGAGCTCCAAGGGACTTCTGTCTCTCTCTCACTCCACTTTCAGAGCTCAGCTCTTCTCTACACTCTAAGAAATCAGTCTGCTTGACATATTTAGATGATCCAAATCAGATGCTGGAGTAGCCTGCCTGGCCCAGCAAAAGCAACAGGAAAAAGGGAGAAGGAGGAGGAAGGGACAAAGAGGAGTAAATAGGGGAAGGAAGTTAAGGGGAGACAAAGGCAAGCAGCAACAGGCAGACCTTACTTTCTGGCTCAGGGTCACGCCCCCAACCCACCCCTTGGAGGTCCACAGATGCCACACTGAGGCACTGATGCTGACACCACTGCCCATCTCCTATAAGCGGCTCACCCAGGGGCGTGTCCACCAGAATGGCATTGTAGAGCTCGGCAGGTGTCTGAGCAATGTTCACGGCTTCCATCTGCTCGAAGCTGCCTAGCGGGTGGCACTTGGGCACGAGCTCAGCAATGGAGCGCTGGTGCAGAGTGCCTGTGATGAGCAGGATCACATTGTCGATCATGTAGCTGTAACTGCAGGAGGCAGACAACAGCAGGGCAGCCCATCAGGGCATGAGGCCTAGAAGTCCTGGCACAGAACTGTGCCCTTCTCCCCCCACATTCGCTGCACAGACCACAGGCCCTTTAACCATCTGTGCTGACTCATGGGTGCTTCAGATAAGGACCAATGTCTCATCTCCCTTCCCAAGTTTCTCTCAAGTTCCTGACCCCCACTACCAGGAGGACAGAACATACATGGCCCCTCCCTTGTGGGGAGAGGAGGATTTATGCCCCATGCCCCAGGAGGGACTGGGACATGGGTAACTATCCTATAGCATGAACAAGTGTTCTAACAGGACACAGGAACCACAGACACAGGACATGAGACAGGCAACCCAGCCCAGGGTGAGGATGGTCAGGAGTCTGAAAGATGAAAGGACTAGGAGATGAAAAGTGTATTCTGGGAAGAGGGAACAGTGTGTGCAAAGGCCTAGAGGCATTCACTGAGTGACGGATGCATTCGAGGAACTGAGCTTGGTCAGGACTGGCAGAGGGAGAGGAAGGGCACAGCAGCTGGCAGGGCAGGGTTACCAGCAGCCTGGGGCCTGAAGGCCAGGCTGAGGGCCCTGACTTCATTTTGAGCACTACGTATCCATAAGCAGGATATAAGCAGAAGTATCACCATCCAATTCAGGTCACTCTGGCTCCTGGGTGGGAACAGAGGGATGGGGGAGGGGAAGACAGGTTGAGGAATGATAAAAAGAGAGAAACTTCTCCAGAGAAGGTCAGAGAAGAGCCAGTGGGAGGTCCTCTCTGAGTGAAGGCCCAGGTCAGGCAGACCTGAACAGCCTCATTCCAAAGACAGAGAACCTCCATCCTCCTTTAGGGCCATCTTGGGCAGATGCCTGGCCAACCTCATCCAGGTCATCTTGGGCAGATGCCAGGGCCAGGCATCTGCCCAAGATGGCCTGGATGAGACCCAGAGTCCTGGACAGGAGGCTGGGGCTCCCCTAGGCTCTGCCCTGCAGAAGGCCAGCTCTGGAGGATTCATGGATGACAGAGGAGGCTGTGGAGCTGGGGAAAGGCAGGATTGCCCAGATGAGACTTGAGAAGGGACAAGACACGGTCTCAACCAGCAAGATTGCCACAAAGGGGCTAGGGCGGAGAGTTCTGTGTAATTACCTATGTAAGGATGGAATGGAGAAGGCGAGAGGCCACAGGCAGCAGTAGCCACAGCTGTCTTCCAGCCGATCAACAGTAATGAACTCAAGGTAGAAGGGAGCTGAATGAGGCCTAGGGGGAATGTCCTCCAAGGCCAGGTTGGGGCACCCAGGGAAAGATAAGAGCTGGGGTGAAAGCTGCTGTTGAGTTGGGCACTGAGAACAGGTCCTTTCCTAGCTTCTGAGGGGAGCCAGAGCTAGGCCTCTGTCCTGTAACAGGATTTAAATACCCAATACTGAGGCTGTCTAGGGAAGACCCTGGTAGGAGGCGGCCCCCAATACTGAGAAAAGAAAGGGAGAAAGATAGCAGCCCAGGCCTCAGTTCAGAGGGTTGGCCACTCGGGGATCTCCCACAGGGCCCTCCAGGAAAGTGGCAAAAGAAAAGGCCCTGGCTCCTGTCCTGGCCTGACCCCCACCCTCCCCCTGCTTGCTGCTCATTCCCCCAGCTCCCATCCAGCCAGGCGCCCTGCTACAACCTCTGCTCTCCTGGGCTTCGGGCCAGGCAGCTGCCCTCTCTCCATCCCCAATCTGGCTGGGTCAGCTACAGGATGTACACTGAGAAGAGACAGGCCCTTCTTCCAAACTGAGGGCCTCAGGCAGGGCCCATTTGCAGCTGTAAGCCAAGAGGTCCAAGCGACCAGCCTCCTGCCCCCGACCCCACAGTGCTGGCAGAATGGTGGGACCTCGGAGAGCCCACCACAGCTTTGGGCCTCCAGCAGTAGCTTGTTTACCCTGGACAGCACACAGCTCCTTCCCCGATGCCTTTAGCATCTCACATACCCCCAGGACCTACACTATGCCATCCCTCAGTACTCCAACTGTGCCCCATCCAGCTCCATGGTAGCCACAACACTCCCTGAGACAGCCACAAAGACGGGGCTCCCAAGCCTAAGGATGCTCTTTTATGCTCTCACGCCCTTCGGATAGGAAGAGAAAGAAAAGCACATCCCTTAGTGTTATCCAAGTGATCCCACAACCCCAGCATCACCAGCTTCACTGTCAGAGCAGATAAGGCCCAGAGAGAGTCAGCATCAGGCCCTATCACACCACATGGCAAAGAAGCTCCACGTCCTCACAGTCAGTGTCCATGCACCTCCATCCGTGGCCAAGGCCCCATACATGGTTCTACCCACCCCATCTAGCCTTATCTTCTCAGAGATATCCCCACAAGTTGGTTTCCTCTTTATATACCTCCTCCTTCTTGTGCCCACCACTCAGGGCTGGGGACAGGGCTGAACACCAAATAAGGGCCGCTCAGTCATGCCACCCCAGCCCCTTCCAAGGCCTTCTCTGAACCTAAGCTAGACCAATCTTAGGTGATCTGTCAGGCCCAGCACTTCCCTCCTGGGCTGACTATAAGGTCGCTGCTGCAGCAGTCCCTGCTTTTCTCCCCTGCCAAATGGAGGTAAGAATCCTCTTTGCCAGGAGACAGGAGACATGACAGGCCTGGCAGAGATGATGCTGGCCCAGCCATCTGCCCTTCACAAAGCTGAGGCCTTCAACAGGCAGGGAAATCCTCCTCCTTCCCTGGCTTCAGCAGCTGCCTTCCTGTCCCCAGAAAGCCACTCCACCATTCCTCCCCTCTTTTGGCCTCAATAGGAGAGAATGAGGTTCCAGCTGGTCAGCATCTTCCTCCAGAGGAAGACATCTGGGGAGTGAAAGGCCGGCTGCCCGCCAGGCCAAAGAGGCCCTTGTAGGGTGGGGGTGGAGCAGTCTGTATTCCTCTGCCAGAGGCCCTCCCTTGCCCTGTGCCTTTAAAACTTAGCTTGGGCCCACAGAAGTCGTTGGGTTGGAGTTTAGAAAGCCACTTCCTCCAAGAAGCCTTCAGAGTCCCTAGCTGGTCCTGCCCCTGCCCCTCTGCTGTGTCCTTTGGTGCCACCTGCTGGAACAGCATGGCGTTTCACCCCTGGAGAGCCAGTCTGGCATTGGTGAAGTGGCCTGATGACTAGGTACTCCTGGTAGCCTGTCACAGCAGGGGCTCCTATGAGCTGCTAGTGACAACATCTGTACTCAATCATATCTGGGTCTTGCAGTGCCCTGTCCAAGGTGGAAAATGAACAGAAATATCAGCCAAATCCTTGGCACACCACCTCTCAAGTTTCAGTTTCCCCTCTGTAATCATGATGAGCGAGGTATGGCTCTGACCTTCTCATTAAAATCCTGCCCCTCCCCAGAGGTCTAGTTGGGGCCTCCCACCTGACCTGAGCCTCTGGACCTCAAGAACCTCCTGTGTGCTCATCTTCAGGCCCAGGTGAACTGCTGCAGTGCTGGCACTCCTTAAGGCAAGAGCCAAGTCTAGCCCAGGATCTAGAAACCACAGCAGGCCTAGAGCCCCAGCCTCCAGAGACCTGCCATGTATGAAGAAACAGTAATAGTGGATAGTGAGGACAGAAGGGTCAGGGCAGGGCGGCCCAGGGAAGCCTGATGCCCCTCTGTGATCAAGCAGGGACCTAGGTTGAAGTGGTATGTCTTGGGAAGAATGGTAGAAGTGCTAACAGGCATTTGAGGCCACTATTGTGGGACAAAGCCTCTTTCCAGCTGCCTACTCTAGGCTGGTGGCACTGAGACCTCTGACACAAGAGATATATGGGACCTCAGCTCTCCTAGATGGTACAGGTTTCCCCTATACCCTGGCTAAGCACCCCCCGCCAAAGGAGACTCAATCATCAAAGGACAAGGGCCTTTAGCATCACCTGGGACTCCCTAGAAACCAGGCAGGCTATAATCCTATCACAAAAACTCTCCAAGCTTCCCTTCCAGAACTGACTCTTCTATGGGAAAATAACATGGAATGGCCCAGATCAAGGTTCCCCGCAAGGCCAAAAACTTTCATAGAGGCTCCAACCCAAGTCACACAGCAAGTTAGTGCCTGAAACTTGCTACAGTGACATATTAACATGTTAGCCCCATAAAATTAAGGTGGATCTGCTCAAGACCACATGATGACAATCTACTTGGGGATCTATCTCATCCAGGCTATTTGCCTCATGCCAGGTAGCTGCCTCTTCTCCGGTCACCCTCTCTCTCAAGTATCCTCTCTATCCCCACTGATCTTAGAGTTCTTTAATTCTGTGAACCCACCTGTGACCCCGGGTTCCATTTGCTGAAGCTGCCCTCTCTCCAAGTACTGTCTACACCACCTCTGGCACCATTTCATTGCATCCAGGCATCTCCCTCCTGGCACACAGCCTGGCCTAGAGCAGGTACCAGTCATATATGTAGGCTGAACATCGGCCAGGATCAACAAAAGCAGAAGATGTTGTCTCTCACACAGAAGGGCAGAGGAGGTCTTGATCAGCTTCTGCTTGCATACCTTCAGTGACAAGGAACTCAACTCATCACGTCTTGGCAGAACCCTGTCCCAGTCATTCTGGGGCAGTTCCAAAGGCAACTAAGAGACTCTTTGAGGAATGGAGCTAAGGTGACCTCTGTGATGATCCCAATCTCTGCCCCGGCTGGGCTAATTCTGTCCGTGGGCAACGATGGCACTGTTTCCTTAAGTCTTCACACCCAGGCTGGGGCCTCCAGCTAATGCTTCTACTACCTGAAAGACTCCTCCCTAAGTACATTCCTTTGGGCATTTCTAGGATAGCCTCCTCTTTCCCAAAGTGGGCGCCACATCTGGATGTTGTTGTAGGGGGCATAGAGTCAGGGACTCCATGCTTACCAGTCAGGACATTTATAGTTCCCTCAGCCTAGAATCCACCTCCCCCAATTCTTCCCTTAAGTGTCTTTCCCTGCAGCCAAATAGCCACCTCCTTAGGGAAAACAGTCCCCAGTCCCCAGCCTGGGGGAACTCTCCTGGCAGACCCCAGTGGAAGGCTTCATCCCTTCTGCAACACTCCATATAACTAGGGTAACCTATTGGGACAGAGTGAAGGAGGAAGAGCAGCCAGGGAAATAGGAGGTAAATCAGAGACATCAAAGAAGGAAGGAAATGGCTGGGGGTTGGGACTGGACACAACAGAGTGGTCAAGTCTGGAGACCACCTCGGCCACATGAAAGCCAGGGATAACCTTAGCCAGGGCCTTATGGTGAAGTGATAGCACTGCTGGAGGTTGAAGGAATGAAGGGGAGGTGAGAGAACAGACAGTGAATATAAAAGTTTAGGTGCAAGATGGCTTTTTTTTTTTAAATGATCTGAGCTTGCTTAGATGCTGAAGAGAAGAATCTGGAAGGGAAAATGGCTGCACAGACAGGAATGCAGAAGAGTGACCACTCAGGATTCAAAGAGTAAAGTAAGGGAACTGAGAATATTGGTAGAAGAAACAAAAAGAAAAGAAAAGAAGAGAGCTTCTGCCATTAGAATGGGGTTTCTGGGGCAGGGTGCAAATACAGCACTGAGAGGCATATTGGTTTATACTGTCTTTGTGGAGGAGAAGGTGAGCCATCTGCCCAGAGAGAAGGAAGCTAGGGGCACGAGAAGGATGGTGTTTAAGATGGGGAGGTAGTCTTCCCAGTCCTGGTGTGGGGTTGCAGGGTGCTGAATAGGTAGGAGAGGCTGTTGGGCATGGGCAAGCTGAGGCTAGCCAAGCAGATAAGCATGCATGTTAGACCGCAGGGATGACACCCCCCACCCCCCCTCACTGGCTTCCCCAGCTTTGCTCCCAGCAGTGGAGGTGGGGGGAGGGCGGCTCCAGGCTGGAGGCTGCTGGGATTCCTCTAGGGCTGGGGGGCTGCCAGTTGGGCGGGACCATGAGTCTGGCGGCCAAGAGAGCTGCGGATGTTGGCAAAAAAGCCCTCGAATGATGGACCAGAGAACCTCAGCTGGGGAGGGCGGGAAACGAAGACAAAAGGGGCAGCAGGGGAGGAAGCAAGGCCCAGTGTCCTGCTGAGTCCGGAACCGTGTCCCACAAGGGACTGAGAGTGGGTTGGAGGGCCCGAAGGCTGTGGGTAGAGAGGGTGTCTGATTCAGCGATTTCAGGAGTGGAGCAGTTCCAAGTGGTGACATGGCCTTGGGCAGCCATCAGTGGGGGTAGCTGAACTGGAGAGCAGAGGAGCAAAGGAGCAGGTTGCCGGAGAAGACAAGGTCATGGACCATGCAGCCACACGCCCAGATGGGCTGACATATGGCTGCTGAGCTCTTCTCGAGTGAGGGCAGGAGTGGATGGGAGGACTGTAAAGTCACAATCACCCATGAATGGAAGGGGTGGGGAAGTAGACAGCCTGCCACAGGATAGCACTTGGCTGCTTCAAGCATACTTGGTGCTTGCAGCCAACCTCCAGCAAAGAGCTGGCAGCTGTGCAGCCTCAGTCACGCTCAAAGCCCTCTCTAGTTTCATGGCCTGGCAAGCTGAGACCAAGACAGGCCAGAGGCTAGATAGATGCATAGGCAGGTAGGCCAGTGGGCAGTGGAATAGGTGACATCTACTCTCTGACCGCTGGCATGGGGTCAGGGCATCTCTAGCCAGTCTAGCTGGCAAGGCCAGAACATTCATGAGGAAGTTGAAGGAGCCTTGTGCAAACAAGTCCTAGGCTGGGCTCTGGCAATAAATGTACTGCTTCCTGGTATGTCCTTGGCTCTGGCCTTGGGGCAGGGGATGCACAGGCCCAAGCCAGGGGTAGATCAACAAATGGGGAGGGAGCTGCAATGGTTCCCCCAATGCTGCAGCACGTGATACACCCTGTCACTGGCCTCTTGCCCCTCCATGGACCCCGTAGGTTCATGTTGGCATACCCTGATGGGGTCAGGGCAGTGTGAGAATGGGCCCAGCTAGGACAGCAGGGAGGTTCCCAGGGAAGGAAGCCTAGGGCTAGGAGAGGGTTGGCTTCCCAGTTTGGGCAGGTTCCCTGACCCTTCGGGTGCTCTAGCCTGTGGTTCCTGCCTGAGGATGAAGCATTTTGGCTGCAGCACCCACTTATACAACTGGATCTTCTGCAAATGGCCGCTACCTGCTGGAGATGGGAATAAGGCCAGGCAGTAGGCACCTAATTCTGTCCCTGCAGGGACAAGCAGAGCAGGTGTACCAGGGCTAGAAAGTGAGGGTACCATAATCAGGAAATGGTAAAAGCTAGACAATATCCAGATGAATGTGGAGAAATGAGGGCAAAAGAGCCCTCGAATGATGGACCAGGGAACCACAATGCATATTCATAACCTGCCAATGCAGAACACACTCATAGAAAACTAACCACCAATTGTGCCTCTGCTTACCACCTGTGTGGGGCAGCTACCTGAGCCAGGGCCATTTCTTTGTCCACGAGGCCCTAGCTCGTGGCTCTCGGGTCATCCCTGCAGAGAGGCCCTTTCAACCTCCCTATGTCTACAGGCGTACAAGGCAAGCAGAGACTGTCCTCTCCTAGCCTTCAGGTTCCAAGGTCCTTTCCTTTACTCAGCTTCTCCAGGAGCTTAGTGTAGGCAGAGTTATACCCAAGGGTCAGATGATGGGGAAATTGGGGCAGTCAAGGATCATAAGCACAGGGGACCCTGCCCACTTAAGCTCCTGAGGGCCTGGGATAGAACTGAAAAGAGCAGCTAGATGTTCAACCTGCTCCCCAACCCTACCCTCACCCACTCTGAGACCAAGGCCATGGTCAGAGTAGATGGAGAATGGGCCATAGTCCAAACAAGGTCTGAGAACCCGCATGACTCATCCCAAGACCTGGGCTCTTCAGAGCTCCGCCCCTCCCCTGACACCTGACCTTGGTATGGGGAATGAGGCCTGGTGAGTATTCAGTGTGGGTGCTGTTGGGTGAATGAGAAAAAGGGCTCCCATCTTCCTTGGTCTCCCTACCCAAATCTCTCTAACACTGGGGGTACAGGAAAAGTGGTTTCATCCGGCTCTTCATCCTGCGTAGGATACCTTGCATGCCCACTGTATCTCCAGCTAGCAGTGAAGACCTACCTGGAGGTCCAGGATTGTTGGATGACCAGCAGACACACAGCCAGGGAAGACTCTGAGAGCAGTGCCCAATGACAGCTGAAAGCTGACATAGGCACAAAGGCAGCTGGCCTAAGCCATGCTGGGGCTAGCTCTGCTGGTGGAACTATCTTGCCCAGTAAGAGGGGAAGGTGCTACAGGGCACACTCACGTTATGAAGTCCAAGAAGCTGGCAAGTGGCTCATAAGCGTGGTTCCTCATGTGGCGGAACTCCACCACCATCTTCTCCTTGAGCCGGTCATCGATGACTGACACTGTCAGAGGTGATGCCTCATTGGCCAGGAAGTTGCCGTAGTCAGTGCTCTGCAGGTGCAGTTTCAAGTCTGAAACCCAAGGGTCTGGGGTAAGGGCTGGCCTTGCTGAGCCTCCCCAAGGGTCCCATGTCCCCATCATCACCTGACTCTGGGCTACTACTCTGACCTCCATTGCCCTGTTGGCTCAGGGCCTACTACAGGACAGTCAGGCTAAGGCCCTGGAGATGCCCTAGATCCATGGGCCTCAAGTCAGCACACTGGGCCCCAAAGTCCAAGCATAAGTAGAACAGTTATTACTCAAGATGACAAGAAAACCTGAAAAACTCAAACCCAGGTCAGATTCACAACCCAAAGCCTTTGAGACCCTTCTGCATGTTAGGCTCTAGGATGGCCCGAGCCTAGAGCAGAATAAAACACGAACCTTGCCCTCCAGGGCCTCAGTGTCAGAGGGGCAAGCCAACATATTCCCAGGCACACACAAAGCATATGGAATAAAGGGGATGCCAAAAGCTGTGGGTGTGGAGTGGAGAGGGTACCAAAACTGGACTGAGAAGATGAAAAAGTCATGCAAGGCTGGGCCACAGCAAAGGGCAAGGACTCCAACTCAAAAAAAATACAAAGGAAACAGCCAGCAAGATGGTGTGAATAAGTGGCCTGGAGAGTGAACAAGAGGCATGAAGAGGAGATGAAGCAGGGAGGAAAGACTGGGCATCCTTTTGGAGTGGCCAGAGGTAGGCAGGTCAGTCCTAAGGGCTCTCTTGAGACTTCAAGGACAGGGAAAAAAAGGAAGGAGGGACAGAGCAAAAGGACCCTGGGGAAGGGAAGACAGGGAAGATGAAGTGGGATCATGGCAACAACCTAACAACAGTATCCCACGGGTGTTTGTTTTTTAAGAGATGAGGTTTTGCTACGTTTTGTAGGCTGAACTTGAACTCCTAGGCTCAAGTAATCCTCTCACTTCAACATCCCATTAGCTGGTGATCACACCAGCCAGAGTGATCTTTTTTTTTTTGAGTTGGAGTTTCACTCCATCATCCAGGCTGGAGGGTAGTGGCACATTCACGGCCACCCGTGTCAACCTGCTGGGTTCAGGCATCCTTCCGCCTCAGCCATTCAAGTAGCCAGAACTACAGGCATGCGCTACCATGCCTGGCTAATTTTTCGATTTATTGTAGAGATGAGGTTCAGGCTGTTCTCGAACCCATGGGCTCAGGCAGTCCCCTCATCTCAGCCTCTCAAAGTGCTGGGATTATAGGCTTGAGCCACCCGTGCCCAGTCCAGAGTGATCTTTTTAAAACACAAGCCAAAGCCGGGCTCAGTGGCTCAGTCTGTAATCCCAGCACTTTGGGAGGCCGAGGTGAGGGGATTGCCTGAGCCCGCAGGTTCAAGACCACCCTGGGCAACTTGGCAAGACCTCTCGTCTCTACTATAAATCAAAAAACTAGGTGGGCGTGGTAGTGCGCGCCTGTAGTTCTGGCTACCTGGAAGGCTGAGGGGGAAGGATCGCCGGAGCCCAGCAGGTCGACGCTGGGGTGGCCATGAGTGTGCCACTGCCCTCCAGCCTGTACAATAGGCTCCAACTCAAACACACACACATACACGACAGACCATGTCATGCACTGGCCTCAAACCCTCTTCTGCTCCTACTTCACTCAGAGTGACAGTCCCTTCCTGGGTTCCCTATGTGGTCACCCCATCATCCTGCCCTACCTCTTTGACTTAGCTTCTGCTACCTCCCCATGCTCACTGGCTTTGGTCACGCCCTTGCCTCAAGACCCTTCCCTGTTCCCTGGCCTGGAAATTGGTTTTAGTCTCCATCCCTTCCTTCTGATCTCTCTTCGAACATCCCTTCTTCAGAGGCTTCTCCTACGGCCTGTCACTTGGTCCCTTGACTTGTGCCATTCTTCTTTGTTAGCATTTATCCCACTCAATGCAGGACACATAAGCTACATGAAGACAGGGACTTTGAATCACTGTGGTATCCTAGAGCTTAGAACAAAGCATGCTCTGGTATGTGTTCGTGCTCAGTAAATAAATGCAGAATGAATGAAAAATAGGAGGGGGTTGGTGAAAACAGGAGGGGGGCTTACTCCTGAATTCTGATACGGGGGATACTATGGTAGTGATGGCAGTACCAATGACAGTGGCTGAGAAGGGACCCAGGCACACGCACATGGGTACGTGTGTGTGTCTACCAGCTTCTGCTGCCCAGGGACTATATGTTAGCTTCTGCTGTCCAGGGAGGATTCCCAAGGGATGACAAAGAGGGGTTCCACTTGTGATCACTTCCACATGCCCACCTGGCCAAGTTCTCCCTGGATACTCTTTTCTTTTTTTTTAGTTGGAGTCTCACTCCGTCGCCCAGGTTGGACAGGTTGGAGTGCAGTGGCACGCTCACCGCCACCCCAGCATCAACCTGCTGGGTTCAGATGATCCTTCCACCTCAGCCTTCCAAGTAGCCAGAACTATAGGCATGCACGCTACCATGCCTGACTAATTTTTTTATTTATTGTAGAGATGACATCTCGCCAATCTGCCCAGGCTGTTCTCAAACCCATGGGCTCAGGCAATCTCCTCACCTCGGCCTCCCAAAGTGCTAGGATTATAGGCCTGAGCCACCACGCCTGGCCTCCCTGGATATTCTTGAGTGCCAGAGGACCATGCTGTCCTGGGCTGCTTAGAGATGGAGATGAGACAATGTTACCCTTCTATAGGTTTAGGTGACCCCTGTGGTATCCCTCCTGCTGTCCCCCAATAAGATGGCCCCTAACATGGAGTGCTTAAAGAGTGATGGAAGAAGTATGTGGGAAGGAGTGGAGGGAGGGTGCATAAGTTGCTGGAGTGGACATCTTCCACCTGTCTCTGGGTGGGTCAGTGGCAGACAGTAATCACGTCCTCTGCGGTTTCTGAGCATGCATGGAGTGAACTTTAATCTCCTGAGGCCTGCAGGAGGGGCCTGTTGCCTATACCATCGCTCTACCATTCACCACTATTTTTCTCCCATGGTCACCCAAAAGAATATCAAAAAAGATGGCAAGGTGGGGCAGGCAGAAGCCACCAGCCCTTGCTATGCCCCATGGACCCTGATGCCTTTTTACCTGGGAAATGTACACACTCTCTCATGTCTTTACTCCAAGTCATCTGCAAAGAGTCCCTGCCCTGAGATCTGTTCTCCCCCATCCTCACCACAGTCTGACCAAGACTCAGCTACTCTTGGAATAAGGCATGGGTGAGAAAAGGTGTTTTGCTCAGTAATACTTGGATTATTGCAGTATTTGATTACTCATTTAGTTGTTACTGAAAAATTTTTAACTGTAATTGATGACTGTTGCTCTAATAGCATATTGCCTGCATTTTTATCTCAAGAAATGGTCTTTATATGCTGGAGTTGAATATCCTTGATCCTGGGGGCAAGTGTACAAGTCTTTTGAAAAGAAACATGGTTTACTTACAAAAAAAACGGATAGTTTTGAAAGATCATTAGTGCCCCTGAAGTGGTTTTTGTGGGTGTGAAACAAATGGTGAGAAAATTAATTGGTCCCTCTTACTACGGTATTGAAATGAAGCCTGCTTAATTTATCAAGTCATGTCCATGCCCTGATTTTATATACTTGTACTTACCAATAAACACTGGGGTTCTGGCCCAGGCCCAGCAAGTGCTGAATCTCCACTAGAAACTGTGGAGTGAACAGCAGCTGGGAGTAGGACTAGAATACAGTGTTCTGGGTCAGGCCCAGGCACTGGCAAAGCAGCTCCCAGACCAAACCTGTCTACTAATTCACACAGCCTCTGCCACTAGCTGAGAGCCCTTCTTAGGCCAGGAGACTTCTTCCTCTTCAACTCACAGACTGGTCCTAGAGGCCAAGTCAGATGCACAGGAAGGGCCCTAGCACAAAATCCAGTCCTCTGGGTGAAGGTCTCCTGTCAGTGGCCCCACTATTCTCTGGGACAGTGAGTCTGGACTTCAGCCTGACCTCCTGATCTCTCCCCTCCAAAGCATTCTGGAGCCAGGCCTTTCCCGGGCATCTGTGCACATATTGCTTTTCAGAGCCCTGACACATGCTGCTGGGAGGCTTCCCCAAGTGAGCTGTCACCACCCACTGGGGATCCTCATGAGATCTCAAGCAGCATGAAACTTCCTCTGCCCCAGCCTCTGCCTTTGCTTCACACGGCTTCTCTCCCTGCAATGGCTAGCTCAGCAACTTCTCCACTGCCAAGTATCTTTCCCCTTTCCAACCTTCAGTGACTCTCCATCCAACACCTGGCACTATTCAGGTGGGAGTCCTCACCCTTGCACAAGGGAAGCCACCCAGACCCACTCAAACTGGAAACGGGCCGTAAAGTGAGTTCAGCCCCATGCCAGGAGCAACCTATGTTTCAGTCACACCCATTTCACAGCCTCAAGAACAGAAATCAGACAGAACATGAAACTGGTCCACAGTCACACAGTTGGGGTGTAGAGGGGCCAGGATATGGAGCAAGCCCAGTGGATTCTGTCTATCCCCCTTCTGGTCTTGTTTCCTCCCCTACTCTGCACCTCTTTGACCACATTCTTTCATAGCTCCTGGCCTCGGATAGGTCTTTCAGACACAGACTCGGCTGTTCAGATAGACTTTAGTCCCAGAAGAGGTGACAAAGGGTTGGAGAGGTCAGGACATGCCCTCTCTCTGACTTCTGAGCCTAGATACTCATTGTTCACCTAATGGTCATGAACTTGTACTGTCATTACACTCAGTAGGAACATGTATATGTGAGGGGGGCAAAGTTGAGGGGTGACTCTCCTTTGTATGCCCCCACCCCTGGGCTTAGCACAGGCCTCCAAGCAGACACCCCTGTGTCTTGGCTGCTGTGTTCTGCTGACACTGCATCTGGGGAAGCCGCGGCTCCAAGCACTGCTGGAACACAAGCAGCCGGGTGGTTTCTGCTGGCGTTTGTCAGATCAGAGCAAACCCGGGAGACTCTACTGAGAATCCTGCCCAAGGCCTAAGGAGTCTTCCTTACCAGGAAACTCATTTTTAAAAGCCACCAGGGACAATGTCAAAGGGCCGTTCCAGACCACTTTTGCTGGC